ATGCCACAGCAGTTGGTGGAGAGTTACCGGTTCCCGCCCTTCATGTTGGCGCCACCGAGACCCCTCGATTGGAAGTTCCCATCACCGCCTTCTCCACGCGCATCTCTTCTTTCCGAATTCGCGGATGTAAGCTAAGATTTCCGGCTTCAATCCCCCCATGTACATGCCCATAATCGCTTCCTTTCCCCAGCGACAACACCGGTTGAGTAACTTCTCAAATGTCTGCTTGTAATCCTTCACAGAGCCCGTCTGTTTGATCTTTGCCAATGCCTCATGTCCTTCGGCCTTCTCCGATGCCCCGTACCTTTTCCGGAACTCATCAAGAAAGTTCCCATCACATTTCCTTCCAACCCTACTCGAACTCCTCCTCCAACCACACGACCCACTGGTTGGGGTCGCCCTCCAAATCAAACGAGGCCAGGGCCACCTTCTGATCATCAGTGATCCCCTGGTACTTGAAGTATTTCTCCACACTCGACATCTAGCCGGATGGATCTTCATCACCGGTGAAGTGGGAAAAATCGATAGTAGCCGTTATCCCCTTAAACAAGATCTCGACGACCTCTCCTCTCGCCTTCGAATGACCCTGACCCGAGGTTTCTCAACCTAGTTCGCTTGATCCACCCGGTTAGCTCCAAGCTGGCCCGAACCAAGCCCACGATTCAGGCCTATCCCACACGATCCCCAACCGCCTGCCCTATCTCCTTCTGACGCCCCTCGACCCGACGCGCCCAATCCTTTGCCCGATTACCCACTGGCCTCCTCTGACACGGCCTGCTCCATCCGTTGGGTTCCTGATTTGCGCTCCCCGCTCCTCCTTTCGTGGCTCCTTGACCCGTCAATCCATCCCACCTCGTCGGTGGTCTATATGACTGTGGTGGAGGTGGTTGATTGTCCACCACATCCATCGCCAAGCTTCCCCACGCACCGCCAAGGGCCTGAATCGCGTGGTCCCTTGTCTTTAGTAACTCGCTGCCCCCGTTCTGGCTTTCCTTGCTTGGCGTCTCATCGGGGGTGACGGTCATCGATGGTGAGCCGCTCCCCTTCCCTTCGAGCTCAGCCACTTTCCCCTCCAGTTTTTCACCAACTAGGATTGTGTCGACTGTCCGCCTGCGCTCCTCCCCTGTTTCCCCGATGTCCCCGAACTCCTTCCTCCTGGAGTGCGCCAGGTCCTCAATCACCCGCATTAGGAACGCGATGATGGCCCGGACATCCGCGTTGCCGCGATCGATCCGGCCGTTAGTCACCTCCTTTCCCTGCTTCAGCTAATCATAACGATCTCGAGATTCGTGGCCGATGCGCTCTATTTGGACCTGAAGCTCGTCTTGTCCTTGCCGCATCGGATCTGTCCCCGACCGAATCTGTTGGAGGCCCTCCTCCGTCGATCGGAGAGGGCGATCGGGCCCGTCCATCCCCGTCCTCAACTCCGCCAACTCACGACCCGCCTGGCCGTTGACTTCGTCGGCGGTCGCGCTCTTCTTTGGCAGCATCGTTCCGGTTCTTGTCAAAACCCATCTGACAGTCGTTGCTAGCTTTTACTCGGCCGATTGGCCGATTAATTTGATTTGTAAAACTTTCATCTTGTCGTCATTGTGCTTTCTGGTTTTTGTGAGGCCATGATAAAATCTAAAGAAATCAAGAGCGAACAACATGATTTGGGATATGAACCATCGTTCCTATATCCCTTAGAAAATGGTGGTAAACACGGACTCACCTGCCGAACTGGTTTGGATTGAAATTTGTATCGGGTATCAGGGAACCATGTGATTATAAATTAGACTTGATCTAAACGGCCCAAAACTTGAAATTCAACTTGTTTGAGCGACCCATGCCAAACTCTAATTATTCTTTACTTTTAAACTTTCTATTTGAAAATACAAAAATACTGAAAGAAAAGAGATGACTGCAATTCGCCATTTGCACATCACTGATTCGGGAATATAACCATAGAAAATTTTGAAAGGAAACTGAAAATGTTTAGGATCGTTTTAATATTAAAGATAACCAAATAGATCTTTTTGTTTAGTTTTTTACTTACAAATACCAAACGATTGCCTATAAAATACACTATAATTTAATCATTATGGTATCAAATAATTACATAACATATATTTGAAATGATAAAATTGGACTAATTAGGTTGGTCGAGGTTGAACCATCTAATAACTTTAAAATACGTTATATTTTAGCCACTAATATATAAAATAATAACATTATATATATTATGCTAGAGACAATAGCTTGTTTTAGAATGACAACCCCATAATGTTCATTTGTTTTACTTGATGGCCAAATCCCATATAGGTCAGACCCATTCAACTCTTTTATTTTATGGTTAGCGGTTAGCCCATTAGAATTCATGTATTAGTTTATTTTACCAACACCGAGAAATAAAAGGGCTTAAAGAAAAAAATGGACACTCCTGGGCCCGTTTAAATATGCATGTGTACGGTAAGTTGGCCCGTTCCACAGAGGAAAGAGAAAAAAATTGACACTCCCTATTCTACCCTTCTTACAAACGCTCATGGAGCATGGAATTAAATGGGGAAAGAGTTTTTTCCTCCCTGTAATTGATTATGATCCTTGTTTTTCTTTAAAATGATCATGGTTCGCAGCCCATCCATATACATTTGTCCTTGGGAACTTTGTTGATACTGGAAGTGCTACCATTAGTCCAGCAGACATTGTGGAAAGACTCAGAACATGGCCTGTGATAAAACCGGTGAACGCGAAGCAATGGTGCACTAGCATTTTCCTTCATGCTTATTGCTGGAACATCTGGCTTGAACGGAACGCACAAATCTTTAATGATAAAAAGACTCATACACGTGTGCTGGCCTTCAAATCGGAAAGGCAATTCACTCCTGGTTAACTGCTGCAAGGAAGGTTGATAATGTTGAAGCTGGAAACTGGTTGAATATTATGAAAAGCAGACTGTTTTCTATTGCAAGTGCAGGATAGTTTTTCTTTCTTTTTTTTTTTTTTTGGACTTTTCCATCACTATTGTGTGATGTGCTTTGTCCTTTTGTCCTCTGTTTTTCCCCCCGTCCCCTGGCTTTCTTTCTTTCTGCCCGTTTGTACGTGTATCTCTTCTAGTCTTCTACTTTCCTTTTCTTCTTTTTAAATAATAAAACTATATCACCACTTTCCAAAAAATAAAAATACAACAAGGGCTGTTGTGCTCATCTTTGTAATGTTGGACTGTAGGATGTTGTGGAACGAACACTACCACTGTTGAGTGTTTGATTCCCCAGCTCGAAGCAATCAAGAGCTGGCAAGTGTTGTACAACGCAAGAAATGGCAGTTTCGCTGCTGATATGAGAAGTTTGAATTGGTTCTAGTTGCAGTAGAGAGACCTGTAGTAGTAACTGAGTTTTGCTCTGAGTTTTATTCATTGTGTTAGTTCTGGGATAAATTGCAAGTTTGGTCACTCGAATTACTAAAAAATTTCAAGTTTGCTACTAAAATTAGTTTATTCCATTCATGGTCACTAAAATTAGTCCAACTGCTCAAGTTTGGTCACTCTCCCTTAATCTCCGTTAACTTTCACTGATGTGGCAATCAACTCTGATAGTTGACCGCTAAATGTATGACGTGACATTAAATGAAAAAAAAATTATAATTTTTTTTATAATTTTCACCTCATTATCACTAATATTAAAAAAAATAAAAAATACATATTTTAATTTCCTAAATCTCACGAGTCACGAACTAACCTCACCCCCTTTCTCACCATAGCTCGACCCAAATTTCCCAATACCGGAACGCCACGAAGGGATGTGGCAGTCAACTCCCCTACTTCTTCCTCCTCCTCTTCTTCAGATAGAGTAATCATCGCGTGAACGGCTTCACTGATCTCGGCCACAAAATCCACAATCACCCTATCAATTGCTGCATGTAAACTGCTTCGGCCACACTACTGCAATGCAGATCATTGATCAATAAGCAACCAAATTAAAGTCTGTCTAGAAATGAAACTAAAGCCACAAACTTTGGTAAAAGGGGGGAACTTACTTCAACTTGCCATAGGTGAGCATAGATAGCTTAGACTCCTTGATCTTCCCCCGACAACGGGATTTCTGAAAACCCCTCTCACCTCTGAGACAATTCCTTCAAGCCCACCTTTCAAGCACAGCTTAATCGCCTCCTCTAGCGAATTTCGCCTCGAATCGTAGGTCTCTGGTTTTGCATCTGTCGGGAAGTAAACAGGGTAAACACTCTGCAACTTCCCGACGAGCAGCGCAGCGTCGGGCTGGAACGAGGAGAATATCACGGGGCGGCCGTCGGCATAATCGAACACGATTTTGAGGATCGAGTTAAGAACTCGAACGAAGTAGTCGTGCTGGTAGACGACATGGTCGACGAATTTGAGCTCGATGTTGAACCCCAAAGAAGTCGGCTTCACTTGCTGGGAAGCTTCCTGTAAAGTGTAGAACGGCTCGTCGTCATCCACCTCCCACCTCATGATTTTGTCGTCTTTGGTTTTCCTCTAATAGGTTTGCTCGCTGGTGGCAAGGTGGAGATCGAATCTTCCTTTTGGGGGCCGTAGGTGAGGACTTCGGCGAGGCAAAGCTCGGTAACTCGCTTCTCGAGAACTGTACCCTGTTTTGGACGGAATCGAATCGCAGATTAGTAAGCTTGCCGCCGTCCAGGAATGGGGATTTTCTAAAGGCTAGAAATCTGGGTCGAGCAACAGTGAGAAAAGGGGTGAAGTTAACTATTAGAGTTGACCGCCGCATCAGCGAAAGTTAATGGAGACTAACGGAGAGCGACCAAACTTGAACGATTGGACTAATTTTAGTGACCATGAATGAAATAAACTAGTTTTAGTCTTAAAACTTTTGAGTAATTCGAGTGATCAAATTTGTGCAGCCCCTTCGGCCCTTCAACTAACTGTACTTTTTCGGTTTTTCCTAGACCGCTGCAGTGCACCCGTCCACCTGCTTTCAAACATGCCACGTGGATATCCGATTAAGCATTTCAGCCCCACCAAACTAAAAGCAGAGTAGTAAAAGCTTATTCCCCTCATTTTCTCGCCTTTTTCTGGCTCACCAAACAGCCCCTCTCCTTCCTTCGGCGCTTTATTCAATTGAATCAATTCCCATTCACCCCTCTCTCTCTTTCTCTCTCCCTCTGTCTCTCCTCCCTCTCTCGAGGAATTATTGATTCAGTTTCTTTTCCAAACTCTGAGAGTGAGTCAGAAACGAGTCATGGATTCGAGACCTTCCAAATCGAAGCCCCGAGTCGACTTCCTCAACACCAGGAACATGAAGCGTTCTTCCTCTTCCAACTCGGACTCACACCAGGGTCAGCTCGACTCGCCCCACTCGCCTCTCCGATTCCACTCCCCTCTCCGATCCGACCAGGGCGACCCGGCCGAGTCCCCTCCTTACTCTTCCCCGATCAATTCGCCGGAGAAGCCCACCCCTCCCTCCGTCGACAACTCCAAGGCCGTCGTCGCGGTCGACAAATTCACGCAGTACACTCCGCAGCCCTCCCCTCTACAGCCGTCGTCCTTGAATAATGCTGCGGCGGCGGGCAAGCAGCAGCCTGGGGCGCCTCCTCCTCCGTTCCGCGAGATGGGAGCGTCTATGAACCGAGCAGTGAGAGAGGAGGCCGCACCGTCGGTGAGGAAGGTAGGGCCGGAAGGAGGGAGATCGGGAGCCGCCGTCGGGTCCATACTGCGGCGCTCGGGGAAGGAAGACATGGTTCGGCTCGCAGAGCTCTGTTTTCGGATTGGTGAGCTGGTACTGTGCTTGATTTCGTTCTCGGTGATGGCGGCCGATAAGACTCAGGGCTGGAGTGGGGATTCCTTTGACAGATACAAAGAGTATAGGTAACTACTGGCTGCTGAATTCGTGATCGTAAATTCGATTTGCTTCCTTTGAATTAAATTGAATTGGAAGCTCTGGTTAATTGGCTGCTTGATTCTGCAGGTACTGTTTGTCTGTAAATGTGATTGGTTTTGCTTACTCTGCATTTCAAGCCTATGATGTCGGCTACTACATGGGTACTGGGAAGCATGTGATTCGCCACCATCTACGTTGGCACTTCAATTTCTTCATCGATCAGGCAAGTCCATGGTTTCTCCACTACGTATTGTTAGCTCGAGCAGTGCAAATATTGAACTTGTAATCGTCACATTGTCTAATGTCTATCAAGTCTTTAGATGGGTCATAATAGTTTCAACTGTTGGGTCACATTGTCTATCAATTACCGAGAGAATGGTGCTTGTATCTATTCGGATAGAACAATTGAGTCCGTAGTTTGAACTGTAATCAGCTCCAGTTTCTGGTTTGGGTTTTTATTTTGCCCAATTGCATGCTTCTGAGTAGGTATGGCCACTCGTTTTCTCAACATGAGAGGTTTATTCCCTTAATGCATCCATATTTTCTTTCTAGTTTCTTTCTTTATTCATGATTCTATCCGGGTAGCGAGCTGCTCATAGTGGCAAGTTGTTTGCACCAGGTGTATAGTTACCCTTCGGTTTGGGTTAATATGAGGCCGTTCCTGTAATTTTCGATTTACCTCTCTGTAAATTGAACAGCTCTTATGTTATCTGTAGCCACTTCATTTAGAATTAGAAGTTATCAGCCGACAGTCGGTCCCTTTATGCAAAATATGCAGAACACAGTTGTCATGACTTAAGCACACTATCAAGCTCTTAATGCGGTTATGAGAGTCATTCATGGCTTTCTGTGGACTAAATACAAATTGCTATTCATTTTCTGCTCTTGGTTTGCATCGAACAGGCACTGGCATACCTTCTCATCTCAGCATCGTCATCAGCAGCAACACGAGTGGATGACTGGCAGTCAAACTGGGGCAAAGATGATTTCACTGTGATGGCAACGGCTTCAATTGCAATGTCGTTCCTGGCTTTTGTAGCATTTGCTGCTAGCTCTGTCATCTCCGGTTACAACTTCTGCAACCGTGAATCTATCTGAAAACACACATCAGCATATCTCACACGGCAAGAAACAAACTAATGGGGCAAACAGATTCAGGAGAATGTCGAACCTCAAGAAAATCATTTGTAAGTTGTACAGAGATATAGATTGTTCACTTCACTGCCCCTTCTCTAGTTTTCTTGTCTTTCTCTGATATAGAAAATGTATACCTATTAGGATTTGAGAATAATTTTCGGGTGTATATGTGCTTACTTGACCTCGATGGCTTGCTACCAATAACCCTTGAAGCAATACCAGTTTGGGTATCTGTTAGTCCTTCTTTCTCCTAGCAAGATGATCATACAATAACAATTATCTGTAAAGTTTACCCCCCTTCTCTTATTGCATTAAAATTGCGAAGCATTAGCGAGTTTGTTTACTTAGGCGGCGTGTACAATCATATTATACAGAACAGACTTGTCCCTCAATTGTTACACAGGAGTCACTAGCCAGTAGTAGTAAACTCAGCGCCAAGCTTGAATTGCCTGCTGCAAGCCCAACTGGCAGTATACGGCTACTGGCGAGTTTTGTTGGCACTGGCGGCGGCTAGAAATCATATGATGTAGAACAGACTTGTCTTAGTAAGCTTAAATAATGAGATTTGATTAGAAGTTAGGAATTAGGGTAAGAGTTTATGCCTGGAATCAGGAGACACCCAATCTTGCTTATGGGAGATGGTGAAGGCGACTAAACATATCCCTGCTCGAAGAGGTGCAGAAGGCTCATTGGCGAAGAAAGGAAGAAGGACGAAGATGAAGGGATGAGGGTAGGCTTTGGAAAAAATAAATCAAGAACGAGGGATTTGGAAATAGCTGATGGGGATTAGCTATTTCAAAAACCCACATTTGAGAGTTTTTGAAATACTTAATTGTAAAAATCCTATGAACAAGGGATTGATTTAGTGGTAATACCACTAGTCATGAACTTGGATGTTCTAGGTTCGAGTCCCTTCAAAAAAAAAATCATCAACTTTCTCAAATGCAAGATTTTTTAAAATCCTGCATAATGAGGAATTGTTTTAAAATCTCTCACTACAATCCCTTATCCAAACGACCCTTTGGGTATTTCTCATGATCCTGACAGGGAAAATCGTCACCTCTTATCCTATGACTCCGAGTTGGTATATAGGTTTTCTTTCTTTCTCCATTGGCTTTTAGATTGTTCTGGTTATATCCTTCCTCCAGAACTTGTGTCGTTCTGAAATTGGAAGTGTGAACTATGGGACGAGCGACGACTCTACACGGTCCAGCAAGCGGAGATTGGAGAACGACGACTGGAATTTCAAAAAATGTTATTTGCATTGGGCCAAATATTCTCAAGTGCCTTGGATTCTGTTGGGTGAGCAACAAAGGCAATAATGGTTTGGACAGGGCCCACGTGAAAATGAGGAATTGTTTTAAAATCACTCACTACAATCCCTTATCCAAACAACCCTTTGTGTATTTCTCATGATCCTGACAGGAAAAATTGTCACCTCTTATCCTATGACTCCGAGCTGTGATATATGTTTTCTTTCTTTCTCCATTGGCTTTAGATTGTTCTGGTTATATCCTTCCTCCAGAACTTGTGCCGTTCTGAAATTGGAAGTGTGAACTTTGGGACGAGCGACGACTCTACACGGTCCAACAAGCGGAGATTAGAGAACGACGACTGGAATTTCAAAAAATGTTATTTGCATTGGGCCAAATATTCTCAAGTGCCTTGGATTCTGATTGGGTGAGCAACAAAGGCAGTAATGGTTTGGACAGGGCCCACGTGAGATATCCAGTAGAATCACTTATGCCATGGGGAATTCGACAAGACAGTAACATTCACACAACACAAGAGTTTGATGGTATGGGGTGGGGACAGTAAAATAAATAGATCAAATTATGATTTGTTAATGATAATGAGGATATCTCAATAAAATAAATAGTATAAATGCAATTGAGTGGTCACTCAAATCAAAACTTAATTCCTTTTTTTTAACTCTCCCTTCAATCTTTCGCATTTTCCCTCGTGTATACAAGATTATGTTTGTTAGTTATTACTTAGTCTCGATGTATCAGAGTAAGAGAATAATTATTTGGACTACATTGTCTATATCATATGGATTAATAGATGTTTTAGGATAAGATGCTTTGAACCATATAAAGAATGATTGTCTCTTTGTCAACTTCATGATGTAGTAGGTGGTTTCACTACAGGAAAACTAGTTTCTAGTCACTAGATCTTATTCACAGGACTTTTCCCCATACTAAGAAGTATACTAGTAGGCACAGTAAAAAATCATGTACTTGATTGTATAGTTCTAATCACGGGAATTAATTTAACAACTTTTCATTTCCCGTGACTAATTGTTAGTCACAGTTAATTGTCGTGAACAATGTGACTAACAGTTACTCGTAGTTAATTACCGTAAACAATGTGGTACTTTATCTTTCCAAATTTTAAGTAAAGATTAAGAAGAATTAAAAATATTAATGATGAAAGAAAATTAAGATAAACTAAACAAAATGTCCATACTAATAAATCACAGAATTAATACACCTTTACATACCGTTTGGTATAAATGAATTTCATAAGTTTTGAGAAATTCATTTTGAAATGAAATGTTTTTGTGCTAGGTGTCGCAACCGTCCCTCGGGGTTGGGTAGCGTTCGCGCTTTGGAGTCGCCACCGATCTTACTTGGAGTGGATCGAACACTCTTCGGTCGGCTCTAACCCTAGGGTCAGAACCGAGACATGGTCTGCGATTAAGATATATAGGTTCGGGAGTACGGTTACGTATGGTGAAGTTAAGCAACACCCCCACAATGCCCTAAATCGGTACTATTTAAGTTGATAAGTTATATGTGTTGGGTGTGTTTATGTATTTTGAGGGTCCCACTGGACCGTTAAAGAGTTTTATCGTATTGATTTATAATTTGATTATACGCCAACTAGCGTTCATGTAAAAGATAAATTTTGTTAGTTAGTTGGACTCGAACATTAGCTTAGTTTGGCCCTGCTGTAGCTTTTGCAGAAGCAGCTTCTTGCTGGAGCTTTTAGATATTTACTTTTAAAAAAAAGCAGTTGAGTGTTTGGCTGTAAAACTATTAGAAGTGCTTTTTAATATAAGAGGTTGTGTAAAATGACTATAAAGGACTTATAATATAAAATATGAATAAAAATTCTAAACAATAAAAAGTAGTCAAAATAGATCTTGTTAGATTTCTTTTATATTAAATAATATAATTTTATAATTTGTTTTATTTTTAAAATGATATAAATGAAGAAAAATTATATTTTCTGAAATATAATTAAAATATGGTAAGGATAATCTTGTATTTTCAAAACAGCTTTTCGCAGAAGCTGGGCTCGAATTGGATAAAAAATGGGGCTCGAATTGGGCTTCTAATCTGGTTTTTTGCTAATTGGTATCTTCTTATTTTTTGTAGGTACCTGGGCTTGGTTGACTTAAAAAAAGTTGGGCTAGTGGACCTAATTTATGTCTCAAAGCTCCACTTTATTTGTAATTCTCTCTTGTAATTGTATGTAATTACAATTGTTGGGGGTGTTACTAAAGACTTCGTGCACAGACTAAGTAGTGGAGCGCACAATCGGCAATGGCAACACTCGGTACCCGCTACAGGTATATAAGGGCTTGAAGCCCTCCAAAGAGAGGGACTTCTCCTCTCTCCTCACTTTCCACTTTCTACTATCTCTCTACACTTTATCTCTCTATCTATTCTCTCAACTCTCTCCAAAAACAGACACTGACTTGATCGTCGGAGTTTAATCCGGGGGACAACCCCGGCTCTTTCACAGGTTCCCTCCCTCTCGACGAGATCAGACGAACAAATCGTGAGTCAACCCCACACCAACAATCATTATTGTTCATACCTCGAGCTAGATGGTACAAACAATTGGCGCCCACCGTGGGGCTGATCGAAAATGCGTTCGTTTGATTTCGAGGAGAGTTTTGAATCTGGAAAAAGACAGAAGCTTCGTCGGGAGGAAACAAAGAGGAAATAAAAAAAAAGAGAAAAGCTCTTCCTTCTCCACCAACCACCGCCGGTGATGCACTTTCCTCCTACTCTTTTCCCAAGTGACCTCCCTCGATGCAACCTCCTCAACCGCAACATCTCCTCAACGACGCCAACTTCACCAAAAACAAGCAAAGAAAGATATGGCAAAATTCTGTCTCCAATAGCAAGAATCATGAAAACCGGGTACAACATCTCTACAAAAGAACGAGGGCCAAGAAGAAAGCAAAAAAAAAAAAAAAAAACAGATTCCGACCACCGACGACATGCTCGGTGTCGGAACTCCGACGTGAAAAAGGTAGGAGGTGAAGTAGCCATCACAAGCATCTGAAACTTCGTCCACCTTTCACTCTTCCCAAACACCGTCGACTAGTCACTTCTCCTATGTTACGGTGGGTCCACGATTTGAGAAAAGACAGCTACCGTGTACAACCTTCTCTTTATGTCATAAAGATTGGACAGGCGGTTTGACCGAGACGAAATTGTGCAAGTTGATGCCAGCCTGGAAAGAGTCAGAAAAGGAGAACGTTGCCACCAATCTTTTCGCGCAGCTTCTCTACATGGTGTTGCGCTTCCAGCCCTTCCAAGCGTGTTAACTTCTCCGCGGCGGTGCCAGTGCTCTTTGATAGTCTACTTCTCGCGCCACGCCTGTACCAAACCTCGTCATCAACGCGATTCGATGTCGTCGTGATCTGCGCGGAAGCTCTATCGCTCCTTCGACGGTCGCGCCACTATCATCCACCAAATCGATCAACTCTGCCAATGGCGGTGGCTTAACCTGCGTTTCGAAAGCAAAAAATTGTGGAAGAAAGGAAGATTGAAGCAGGAAAGCAAAAGAAAAAAAAAGGTGGGCTACTGTTGCCTCACGCCAAGAATAAAGAAGCAAGCGATTTTCAAAGAAGTAGCCGCTCATCAGGCCCAAAGGGACTCCTAACCCGCTAGTAAGGCCCAAATTGGCTCAAAGCCCGCTCATACAGTCATCCAGCCATTCGGGTTTTACCCACAACCGCGCAGTTCTTCAACCCGCCTTCAAAGCACGTTCCGTTCCACAAGCCAAGCCCGCGGCTCGCTACCGCGCCCTTAAGCCTGGGTTCAACTAGCGCACACTCTATTGGATCTCCACCTCCCATTGCAACCACTTCACCCACAAAGTTCCATTCTCACCAATCTGAGCTTCGAGGCATGGAGCTCTAACTGAAGCACGCCCCGCTCTTCCAACGCATTAGCGACAACTCCATCTGCCGAGCTCTTGTGTTGTATTGTCTATGTTGGCACCTCCACGGAATCTTTGTAGCCCGAAAGAAACGGAAGCACTCGGAGAAGAGCGGTTGCGCGCTCTATCCCCTCCGACACCGACGCCTCTTCAGAGTTCGCACTCATAAGCCTCGACCCAAACACAAAGGAAACAAATGGTGTTTAATCACTCAATTTAAATACACTCAAACAAACAAGGCCTTAACTTTTGGCACTTGTTTTTTTTTTTACAAACACACGCAAAGACTTCCTTTCTTTTCTTTTTGTTTTGTATGTCTCTGACCTCTACTCTTCTGCCCATACACAGGTACATATATAAGCACATATAATTGTAATGAAATACAATAAACAAAACACACCACATGCTCCTTCTCACCATGCATTAAACATAGACAACTAAATAATGCAAATGGCCCTTTCTTAAATGGGATGACAACTAACATGGGTCAACCTCACTTTTAATTCACTTACATGCAGATGCATGTGGTCTTCAATCAAACTTGCTCCATGCATTAAAAATGCCTCTTATCTTCACGTGGGTTGTATAATTTCATCACCATTGGCAGGTTGTGGGTTCATGATTGATTTTATAATTACCTTCAGTTATTGCGAATTACCATTCAACACCCCCGCTTAATTCGCAATCTGTAGTAGCTCTTTGAATTTCTCGAATTTCTCACAGGTAACCGCCTTTGTCATGATATCTGCTGGCTGGTCGTTGGTGTTGATAAATTTCATCACGATTAATCCTTCGTTGACGAGGTCTCGGATGAAATGATGACGCAACTCGATATGCTTTGATCTTGCGTGGAATACTGGATTCTTTGTCATGGCTATGGCTGACATGTTGTCACAATGAATAATGGTTGGACCATTTTCACTTTGCTGGAAATCATAAATTAATCTTTTTAGCCATACCGCTTCGCATGCTGCATCAGTAGCTGCGATATATTCTGCTTCCGCTGAAGATAATGCCACAGTCATCTGCTTCTTTGAACTCCAGGACATGGGTTTTGAACCAAGGCAGAATATGTACCCCGATGTGCTTTTTCGATCATCCAGTGATCCTGCCTAGTCACTATCGGTATATCCAGTCAGCTTGCTTTCTGCTTCTTTCTTGTACATCAGGCTCAATTTCTTTGTACCTTGAAGATACCGCAAAATTCTTTTGGCTGCTGCAAAATGAAGTTTGCTAGGTTCATTCATAAATCTTGATATAAGACTTACTGAATGACATATATCCGGCCTGGCATGTGTCAGTTAAATGAGTAACCCGACAAGACTTCTGTACAGCTTTCCATCAACTTTTTCAGTTCCATCATGCGTTGTAATTTCTCGTGTAACGCCATCGGTGTTGAGATTGGTTTGCACGTTGCCATGTGAAATCTTTTCAGCATATCTTTGGTGTACTTCTCCTGTGAAATGAAAATTTCTCCAGGTGACTGCTTCACTTGGATCCCAAGAAAATATTTCATGAGTCCCAAGTCTGTCATCTCGAATTCTTTCATCATGGTACTTTTGAATTCTTCAATCATCCGCTGACTTGTTCCTGTGTAAATCAAGTCATCAACATACAAACAAACCATTAGAAAATCTTTTCCTACTCCCTTTTTGATGTAGAGAGATGATTCACTCGGACTTCTTTGAAATCCATTTTGCTGAAAATATCGATCAATTCTGCTATTCCAGGCTCTCGGTGCTTGCTTCAGCCCGTATAAAGCCTTTCGGAGACGATAGACTTTGTCTTCTTCTCCTTTCTTCTCATAGCCTCGTGGTTGTTCCACATAGACTTCTTCTTCCAGTTCTCCATTCAGAAATGCTGATTTGACATCCAACTGGTATACTGGTAACTCCAGTTGAGCAGCTAGAGCGAGAACTGTTCTGATGGTCTCCATCCTCGCTACTGGTGCATAGGTCTCGTGAAAATCAATACCGGGCTGCTGTGAATATCCCTTTGCCACCAGTCGAGCTTTGTACTTCTGGATAGTACCATCTTCATTGAATTTGATCTTATAGATCCATTTGAGACCTATAACCGGCTTGTCCTCCGGTTGATCAACAAGCTCCCATGTCTTATTTTTCTCGATCATGGAAATTTCTGCATCCATCGCCTCATTCCAAACTTCATCTTTGGTTGCTTCTTCAAAGACTTGAGGCTCACAAGAAAAATATGCCACATGACTTGTTTCATAAATTTCTCGCAAAGACCTTGTTCTCAATGGAGGTGAATCCGAGTCTGTTACGACGTCTCTGAAGTTGTCTCCTTCTGGGCTAGGTGCAGAATTTCTTTCTAGACTAGCAACTGGATCTGGGTCGTTGCTGGGGTCTTCTAGAGTTGCTGAGTCCTCCAGAATTTCATAACTTGGTGGAGATTGAGAAATTGGATTTTCCCAATTCCACTCCGCCATCTCATCAAATATCACATCTCGGGAAACCACCACTTCGTTCTTTACTGGGTTGTAAAGACGATAGCCTTTGGACTCATCACTGTAGCCGGTGAAGATCAGCTTTTCTCCCTTCTGGTCAAACTTGTCTCGGTTTGGAGTAGAGATGTGTGCATAAGCTATGCACCCAAAGACTTTGAGGTGATCCACCTGTGGCCCCCTTTGGTGCCACGCATGTATCGGTGTCTTGTTTCGAACTGCTTTGGTTGGTGATCTGTTGAGGATGTAAATTGTTGTATTGACCGCTTCTGCCCACAAGTTGTTGGGAAGCTTTTTTGCTTTGAGCATACTTCTCGCCATCTCCACAATCGTGCGATTTTTCCGTTCTGCCACGCCATTTTGTTGTGGTGTGTAACGGACCGTCAGCTGCCTTTTTATCCCGTTGTTGCGGCAATACTCCATGAACGGAGTATAAATAAATTCTCCTCCACGATCTGTACGGAGAATTTTGATTTGATGGCCGCTTTCCTTCTCAGCTAGTGCTTGGAATTGAAGGAACTTGGGAAAGGCTTCTGACTTTTGCTCCAGAAAGAATACCCACATCATTCTGGTGAAGTCATCTACAAATAGTAGAAAGTATCTTTTGCCGCTGAGTGATTGTGTTCGGGTTGGACCGCATATGTCTGCATGTACCAACTCCAGTGGCGCTTTTGCTCTCCAAGATGTCTTTGGAAATGGTAAACAATGCATTTTGCCATATATGCATCCTTCATATATTTTATCTTCTCTGTTGATCTGGGGAAGTCCCGCCACCATATTTTTCTGCCTCAGCAATTTGAGGCCTCTGAAGTTGAGATGACCATATCTGAGATGCCATAGGAAGGATTGATCCAGATTTTCACTCTTGAATGCTACTTCACCATTTTGTGACATAGCAAGAGAGAAAATTCTGTTGGAAGTCATCGGGACTTTGGCCACCATGAAATTGTCTGCTTTGTTGATAATCTCGCACACGCCATTATCTAACAATAGCTTGTAATTTTTCAGCATCAGTTGTCCCACGCTAAGTAGATTGAGAGTTAGCTCCGGAACATACAAAACATCTCGAATGAGAGTTTTGTTGCCTTCTTCTGTGCATACAACAACTGTGCCTTTTCCTTTCACTTTTAGCTTCTTCCCGTCTCCCAATTTGACTTGAGAGCGGTATTTGTCATCGATGTCGGTGAAGGACTCCAAATCTCCAGTCATGTGGTTACTGCAACCACTATCCACCATCCAGGGAAGCTGTGATTTTTGCTCACCATACAAGCATGACAAGGCCACCATATTGCTTTCTTCATTTTTGGTGCCGCTTGACTCGCCATCTTCTTGCTTGTTCTGGAACCAGCAATCTCTCTGGGAGTGGTTCTAAATTCTGCACTTGGTGCACTTGAATCTGCAATCTTTTGTTGCATGACCCGCCTTTTTGCAAATAATGCAACTCGAGCCGGTGTAGCCCGATCTTTGTTGTTGATAATTTTGTCTGTTGTTTCCTCTGTAATTGGATCTTCCTCTTCCTCTTCCTTGTGAGTTTCCCCCTCTCTGGCCTTGCTCCGATTTGGCATATTTACTTTCCACCATGTTGACTTTTGACGAGAAAGCTTGCTCCAATGGGGGTTTGGTGAAGCGGCTCATTCTTTGCTCGTGTGCTATAAGTGAGCCCATTAACTCGCTCATTGGTAGATTTGCCAGATCTTTGGTTTCTTCAATGACAGCAACAATATGCTCGAACTTTGATGATAAATTGCGGAGAATTCTCTCCACAATTTTTCTTTCTTCCATGACATCACCGGTGGCTTTGATCTGGTTGACTGTCTCCGCCACACGCGAATGGAAGTCTTTGATGGTGTCGGTTTCCTTCATCATCAAGTTGTCGAACTGTCGCCATAAACTTTGGCGCCTGATAGAGATTGCCTTTTCAGAGCCTTGAAATTGTTCACGCAGGACATCCCAAGCTTCTTTGGCCTTTTTGATGCCATAGATTCTGGGGTAAATTGATTTGCTCACTGCTTGCTGAATTATTCTCAATGCGCTGGCATTTTGCTTGGCATTCTCCTTGTACTCCTTTGTCTGCTTGCCTGCTCGTTTCTTCGAGTCTTCATCCTCGTCCTGTGGATCTTCGTAGCCTTCTTGGACGATATCCCACAGATCTTGAGAGATGAAAATTGGCTCCATTTGGGCACTCCAGTACTCGTACAATTCTCCATCGAAAATGGGAATTTGATTAGAGGAGGTAGCAAACATGGTGTTTGATGAAGTTGTTGTCATGGCTTTTTTAGAAGATTTGGGTAGGATAGAAAAATGGGGATTTAAGAGGATAGAAGGGTATTAAGCTCTGATACCAAATTTGTTGGAGATTAGTGGAAATGTGGTATGATTTAGGATCAACACAAAGGAAACAAATGGTGTTTAATCACTCAATTTAAATACACTCAAACAAACAAGGCCTTAACTTTTGGCACTTGTTTTTTTTTACAAACACACGCAGAGACTTCCTTTCTTTTCTTTTTGTTTTGTATGTCTCTGAAATCTACTCTTCTGCCCATACGCAGGTACATATATAAGCACATATAATTGTAATGAAATAGAATAAACAAAACACACCACATGCTCCTTCTCACCATGCATTAAACATAGACAACTAAATAATGCAAATGACCCTTTCTTAAATGGGATGACAACTAACATGGGTCAACCTCTCTTTTAATTCACTTACATGCAGATGCATGTGGTCTTCAATCAAACTTGCTCCATGCATTAAAAATGCCTCTTATCTTCACGTGGGTTGTATAATTTCATCACCATTGGCAGGTTGTGGGTTCATGATTGATTTTATAATTACCTTCAGTTGTTGCGAATTACCATTCAACAACCTCATCTGAACACGGCGCGGCGGATTAGCCCGGTCCGCCTCACCAGTACGCGGCCCAGTACACGAATATCGAGGCGAGCGAATACTCTCCGCGTAAAAAAGGAAGAAGAAGAAGGAAATACCCCCAGTTGAGCCACTCGTCGCGGCGAGCGCCGTTCGAAGCATCGCGCTCACCTCCGCCCAAAGAGCTCCCGGAAGTCGTGCTGTTGGCACTGAGCGGAGGAAAGAATATCTGCCCACCGACCACCTCTTCATCTCTTTGCGGTTCGTATTGAACGGGGAAGAAGCCCCGCGCGGTGATAATTTGCGAGCAGGAGGGAGAATGAACGTGGAGGCGGAAAGAAAGAATAAAAAAAAATTAATGACAAGAAGAGGTCGCCTCCACCGCCGCGTCATACAGGCTCGCTTCATGCTCCTCCGCGTCAATCTACCCTCCAAGCCTGCTATCAGACTCGCGGCCCAACGTCACGCCACCTAACGCGGCATGGCCCGCGTCCATTTCAACCCACCAGCGCGCGGGCCGCTCTGCACCAACTCAGTTGGGCCGCCATCACCTTGGCCGCGTGCAACCACTCCGCGGCCCACGTCACAAACCTGCTTCACACAAGCCGGCCCTCGTCCGCCCCGCCCGATCACTCGCGGCCCGCGCAGCATCTTCCCCCAGCCCGCGTCGCAGCAGGCCCACCACAAGAGGGTCACTCCTCCGAGTCAAAAATAATGTCGTCGCTGCCAATCTTCGAACCCACACCAATCCTCCGCCAGACAAGCAACATCACCAGAAGGCTACATGCGGACCGTGTGTTTCAATGGCGCGACGTCTGATTTTTAACTATTCACTCCCACTCAGTTCCACGGAACAAAAAATAGCAATAGTCATGAACTATTCGCGCCCACTCAGTTCCACGGAACAAAAAATTATTTGTAGGCACCAGTCCTCGAACCCACACCACTGTTCTGCTATACAAGCGTACTGACCAGTAAGCTACAACAACAGCTTATACTACAAAATGCGTCGCGCCTTTATTTTAACGACTAGCCCGCGAGCTCGCACTCTCAACTCACGGATCAGGCCCAATGGTCGCGTCCCCGGCCTGTTGTGCTGTTCAGGCGCGCCAAGCCCAACAGACAAGGAGCTCATCAAAAATAATATTGTCACCACCAGGATTCGAACTCACGTCACTCCTCTGCGTGACAAGCAACAATACCAGTAGGCTACATACGCGCCTTTATTTTAACGACTAGCCCGCGAGCTCGCACTCTCAACTCACGGATCAGGCCCAATGGTCGCGTCCCCGGCCTATTGTGCTGTTCAGGCGCGCCAAGCCCAACAGACAAGGAGCTCATCAAAAATAATATTGTTGCCACCAGGATTCGAACTCACGTCACTCCTCCGCGTGACAAGCAACAATACCAGTAGGCTACATACGCGCCTTGTGCCAAAATAAAGCAGCGCATTCCACTTAATAAGTATCCTGCCGCCTCTCCAATTTAAAACTAAGTACTCTATCCCTCTATCATTATCAAATATTGAAATATTTCACTTTTATGAGCATTAATGGCGCTAATGGGGGGCTACACGCCTTAATGAAATACACCAACGTGGGTGCAAGACGCAAGAAGCTGGCACCGCGTCAGTAAAACGCGCCACCAACTGGGGGGCAACTGGGGTACATAGGGCTCCACCCAGAATTATCGACGAAGATTTAAAATATATATATAAGCTAGCGATGAGTTAAAACTCACCACCAGCTTGGGGGGCAATTGTTGGGGGTGTTACTAAAGACTTCGTGCACAGACTAAGTAGTGGAGCGCACAATCGGTAATGGCAACACTCGGTACCCGCTACAGGTATATAAGGTCTTAAAGCTCTCCAAAGAGAGGGACTTCTCCTCTCTCCTCACTTTCCACTTTCTACTATCTCTCTACACTTTATCTCTCTATCTATTCTCTCAACTCTCTCCAGAAACAGACACTGACTTGATCGTCGGAGTTTAATCCGGGGGGCAACCCCGGCTCTTTCACAGGTTCTCTCCCTCTCGACGAGATCAGACGAACAGATCGTGAGTCAACCCCACACCAACAATCATTATTGTTCATACCTCGAGCTAGATGGTACAAACAACTATCTTTCTTTCATTATTATAGGAGAAATTTTACAATGCTATATAGTATTGGTGCTATAGGTTTTTGTTTTTATGATACAACTTAAAATTGTACATTTACGTTATGGTACAACTTTAGATTGTACCTATACTTTTTGTACAAATTCTTTTATGGTACAACTTGAACTTGTACCTTTATGTGATGCTACAACTTCAAGTTGTAAAGTTGTACCATAACATAATGGTACAAATTGCTTTATGGTATAACCTAAACTTATACATTTAATGTTATGGTACAACTTTGAGTTGTACATTAAAGCACCAATGCTATATAGTATAGTAGAAGTGCTCTTATTATAGATGTCATTCTTGAAGCAATGTACAATTTAACAAATCTAATGGCAAAGTATATTTTATTTTTCATGATTTTGTTTCCATTAATTGTAATCTATATTGAATGCCAAACCATGAGTGTACTACACTTTCTTTTCAAATATAATTGTAGCTCAATGCTACAATCATTATTTTTGTTAGGAGAACGATTATCCCAGACAAAATGTGGTGTCTACACTTGGTATATAAAAGAATTCATTTTCAATTTTGAATTTTGAATTCTACTGAATTAAAGCTAGTTATAGCAATTTTACGTTGTGGAATTCAATATTTTGCAACCCATTTGTTTGTCTTTCAATTTTTATACGTTTGCAATGACATTTCTTTGCAAACGTGTAAAAATTGAAAGAACGTCGACATAGACAACTTAGAGACCACCACCATAATTTTCTTCCTTCTTTGCACCTTTATAAAATCTCACATTTGTTCCCTTCAACTTATAACCCCCTGCTATATTTTATCATCCATGGAAATGGGTTGCAATAGGCAAGTAAATGATCAATTATTCAACCAAATGAGAGATACTCTAAGTCCAAGCAATAAACCCTTCCAATTATCTATTACATGTTTACATAAAAGTATACAACATAACAGAGAACCATAAAATAAATACCTGAAAAACGAAGAAGAAATACATCCGTTGATTTGAGCAGGGAAATTTACCATCCAGCCGTTGTAAACTGGAAGAAATTAAGAAACAAATGTAAAAATGAGCAATCCTCGATTTGTTCGATTGGTCTTCGCTGTGATAGGATGAATTTTTTTTTGTCAATAGTCAAACATACGTTACAGTTGGTCAATTGTTTCCCACCTAATCATTGTCTCTTGTAACTCCACCCTCATATTCTCTTAAAAAGAGTAAAAACTCAATATGCTTTACTATTTCCTTTCTTGTATCTATTTGCAAAAAAAATAGAGAAGAGAAACACTAGAAATCACAACATTTTGGGCAAATAAAAAGAGAGATTTGTTTGTCTTTATGGGGTTTGATCCAATTTCTTTATTTTCTTATTTTCAATGTTGGACTTTATTTTTATAGAGAGAATTTGTATGAGAAAAGGGATAGGAACAAACCACAATGTTGCATTCTTTGTTATTAACCTAATTACATTTTATTGATAATGATGACAATTTAAAGAGTAAACAGAAAAGTATATAAGCAAGAATTAGAACTTGTCCACTGTGGAAGGGTGAGAGTTAGCCATTTGCTGATGTAGCACTAATTTAGTTTCAAATTCCTATAATATTAAGTAATGATGATTTATAATTTTTGAAATTATTTATAACTTTCAGAATTTATACAAATATTGAAATAATGTGACATTTCACATGCATTTGAATTCTTTGATGCATTTAAATATAAATTGCTTACTGTTACAAAACAAAATATTTTCATTTTGATACTTTGATATTGATTTTTTTTTTGTTATAGTTAGCATGGAGTCATAGACTCACACCATATGATCAAATGACTTATTACAATTACTTTATTAAACTCATCCTTATTAGAGATTTTTCATTTCAACCCAAGACCTTGATTTAGATTCTTGTAATTGTATTTTTTTTTTGTTTAGATATCTCAACTAACACACTGATATTTATTTATTGCCCCAATCCTCAAATTTTGATTTCAAAGTTCGTGAAAACTAATGCTTAAATAATTTTGAAAACTTTAATGTATAATCCTCAACTATAACTCTAAATTCGGGGAAAAAATTTAGCATATGATTTATGACCTCAATTGAGCTTGCTCAACCAAAATAATCTAAAGCAAATATTTAATGTGAATTAAAAAAATTATAAAATATTGCACATGGGATTAATCTTCATTTGAGAAATTTCAGGCAAACATGAATATATGTTTCACTTAATTAGGATGAATAGAAATATTTTTAAGAAATAATTATTAATGCTCGATCAAGTTTATATTATGACCTTTTGCTATATAATAATTTTTTAATTTGGTACACATATATATTATAAAGAAGAGAGTATTTAATATATAAAGTCATGTAGTTCATTTTTCAAATTCAATTGATTGTAAACGCTTGATTTGTCTCTTTCTATCGTTATATTTTATTAGACAAAGATATTATTTATGTGTGTACTTCTTTAAATTTTTCATTAAAATGTAACCTATTATTAAGTTTTGGTTAAAATGAGTAGATAATTTACTTGACAAACCCATATATGTCATTCTATGTTTCCTTCTTTATATTTTGTTTAATTGACAAAAATATTATTATTTATGCTTGTTTTTATTTACATTCTCACCAAAATTAATGTTGAGTAAAAGTGAGTATAAATACTAAAAGAAGAGAGAGATAGCTTCATAAATAGGTCAATAATAAATATTTGGGTGTGCCTATGGTGACATGCATGTCACGGTGACTTGCACTTTCCAGTCGACCTCAGGTAGGATTAGGTCGACCTCATTTAGAGTTCGGTCGACCTCATATAGGATCTGGTCGACCTCATTTAGGATTCGGTCGACCTCATATAGGATCTGGTCGACCTCATTTAGGATTCGGTCGACCTCATATAGGATCAGGTCGACCTAATCTGTTGTTTCAGTGTAAAAACAGTTCATGGTGTCTACTTTGCATATTCATATCATACAATTGGCTAGATGGAAATTGAAGACTAATGACTTGTTTTGAAGCTGGAGTATCCCTCTACATATTGAAGTGATTGAGAGCTCGATAGAAAGTCCAGAAGACCATTTTTGAACCTCATCAAAAGGCTATGCCAAAACTGGGAAACTGCCTGGAAATGGATAAGTCTGGAAACGTGTTTGTGAAGCCTATTTTGGAGCTCAATTTGAGAAGCATGAATGCGAGTCGAGTCCAGGAGCCTCTACCACGTTAAATTAGGTATGTTTTTATACAAATTCAAGGCATTGGACGAAAGATTGGATATCTGTAAGGCTTCAAACCAAAGGGTCGAAGTTGCTACGAAGGTTGTTTTTCTGACAGACTTCGAGCCCAAGCAAGCTGCCAGAAAAACAGTCTTCGTAGCAACTTCGAGCCTTTTGTTTGAAGCCTTAAAGATATTCAATCTTTCATCCAATTCCTTGCCTTTGTATAAAAAAATACGTAATTTAACGTGGTAGAGCCCTGGACTTGACTCGCATCCATGCTTCTCAAATTGAGCTCCAAAGTAGGCTTGACAAACACGTTGCCAGACTTAGCCATTTTCAGGCAGTTTCCCAGTTTTGGCATAGCCTTTTGGTCAGGTTCAAAAATGGTGTTCTTGACTTTCTATTGAGCTCCCAAGTTCTTTAATGTGTAGAGGGACACTTCAGCTTCCAAACAAGCCTTTAATCTCCAATTTCCATCTAGCCAATTGTAAGATATGAATCTCCAAAGTAGACACCATGAAACTGTTTTTACACTGAAACAACAGATTAGGTCGACCTAATCCTATATGAGGTCGACTGAAAAGTGCATGTCACCGTGACATGCCTGTCACCGTAGCAAAGTCCTAAATATTTTTGTTAGTAAAAAAATTGTCCACCTTGGCAACTTGTTAATTCTCCAAGTGCTTATGTGGCAAGAAGTTATTTTTGAATTATCATAATGTTTAATTCTCCAAATGCTTATGTAGCAGGAAGTTATTTTTGAACTATCATAATATATAGTATAGATATAAAGATTTGTTGGAAATTCATAAGGATGTAGTTGGAAACTTTTAATTTAAGTCAATTTTACATGTATGCCAAACAGTGGCGTAGCCAGGATTTTATTTAAGGGGGTGCCATAAAAAAATTACATATGCGGTCTCGTGTTTTATATTATAAAATTATTCTATAACTATATGAATCGACCCACTATCAAGATTTCACACTTAATATATCCCACCGAATAACCATTCACTACTTTAGTTCACTATATGAGAAGGATGATCAATCGTTTCATAGCATAAAATGTTATCAACTTGTGCATTGACAGATGATAGTAGCAAATCAAATATATTCTCACAAGCAAATACATTAATAAAAAATAATTTTCATGTATAAATTAGTAGATGAATTAATTTATTAGTTTGTTGTGATTTAACGGTAGAAGATTTGACAATGAACATTGAAATTTAGGATTTAAATATTATCATTAACTAACTAATACTACTAATATTTTGTGTTTTCTTCAAATCTAAGGGGTGCCATGACACCCCTTGTTACACTCTAGCTACGCCCTGATGCCAAACATGATTTAAAAATTCAATTAATTTTATTTGGTACCAAACCATAATTGAGAAAACATGTACTTTAGGTTTAGGAATAAGACAGAATTTTCACAAAAAAAAAAAGGAATAAGACAGAATGCCAAAAGATTTTGTATTTTTGGAAAAGAAATATTTGGTTCTTTCCTCGAATATGGGCTTTGGTAAAAAGAGGTGCAGAAAAGTGGAATCCGTGGATAAAAATAAAAAAACGGGGCTTTCCGTGGCCATAAGCCCTTGGCCCTCCGGCCCTGGCATTTGACCGATGGAAGTCTAACAAACTCCACATCGACATCGCTGCTCTGTCATTTCGCCATTGCCGCCGTTACTTTCCTCACCGTAGCAGAGAAGTCCTCCTCGGGATGAGAAAAAAACTTCCGTTAGCATTTCCGCTGAATCCTCGAAGCAACCTATCTCAATCGTCAGTCTTCTGAACCTCCTGCGTCGCCCTTGGTTGGTAAGTTGGTGCTGCTTCTGCTTCTTCTTCTTCCTTTCAGCTCGATGCTCGTATGAGTTACGAGTACCTATACGGCTCAGTTTTCCTGAATACAGTCAACGGAGTTTTGAGTAATGGCGACTGAGTCCTCGTCTCCTCCCAATCCCCCCGCCGCCGGTGGAACTCCTCAGAATTCAGGTGAACTATATGTCTATATCTCCGCCTATTTCTTGATCAGTATTCTTGACTTCGTTACTCTTCTTCCATAATTGAACTCCTGGAACGTGAATGTTCTTCCCTGTTTGGATTATAGCCTGTGCGCGGTTTTTATCTTTAGCTTCTTGATTAGGATTGCCGAGTCCTGTCCAGCGATGACTATTTCCGAGCCTTATCGTGGGGTGAGAGGGATTGATCGTAGATATTGTCATATTGAACCTGAAATTGGAGCTGAGCCTGATTGGAGCATACGTTTTCTGGTGGATACAGTGATGTATTTCAGCTAGGACTTCGTTTGTTCGTTGTCTGTGATTCTTGGTGAAAATTATCAGCTCATTTGATCGAGTGAAGGATCGGTGGTAGATATTGAACCTGAAATTCACATGGAATCTGCTGATGGCTGCAATGAGATATTCTATGGACTTCGTTTATTTGTTGTCTGTAATTGTTGGTGAAGCTTATTAGCTCACTTTACAGTGTTGATAGCAGCAATCGTAGTGAATGAATCCCGTTTCTGAAGTTGTTACAAGGCTAACTATTGCTCTCGTAGGCAGAATCTGTGTTCGCAGAATCATATAATTGTTTATGTGAGTCTTTGCAGTTGTGTTATGGGCAAACTTATTTGGTCCTTGAAACAGCCAACACTAGGTTCATTGAATGCAAAGATGAAGGAGGAGATTGACTTAGCATTTGAGAGTCTGAATTGCTTGTAGTTGTAACATATGGGTTTTTATGTGTAAGATGTGAGCCCAAAAAGGTTAATTTATTTCTTGTTTTTTTTCTTCCGAACTTCAGCTACGGAAGCTGTGCAACCAGCAAATGAAGTTAAGCAAGATGCTGCTCCACAAAACCCCAAGTCTGTCTTTGTGAATTCAGAACCAATACGAGAAGACCAAGTACAAAATGCTGTGAAATTTCTTTCTCACCCAAAAGTTAGGGATTCTCCAGTGTTCCACAGGAGAAATTTTCTTGAGAAGAAGGGGCTAACTAAAGAAGAGATAGATGAAGCTTTTCGACGTGTGCCAGTAAGGGATTAAATAATTTGGTTATTGTGTTCCCCACCACGAATCTGTCCATGGTTCAGTGTATAAGGTCTTTTTTCTCAATGAGTTCAGTGTATAAGTGGACTCTTCAATATCTCCTGATATTGTCTTCAAATGTGCAGGATCCATCCCCAAGTGCTCAGCCAACTGTTACCAACCAGGGTAAAGTCTTTTGGTACTAAAAGGATACATTAGTCTTTTGAGGGAAAAATTTCATTGATTTGACCAAGGTTGCCTTGTGTATTCATGGATTGTTGATGTTCTTGTTTATTCATGATGGAAACAGTGGGACAGGGAGTAACAACATCAACCATTCAGCCAACAGCTGTTTCCCAAACCCCGGTGCCAATAATAACTGTTCCTAGCAGTGCGAGTCCCTCTATGTTCGCCTTGGCTCGGTCTCGATTTCACTGGTACCATGCTGTTTTTGCTGTTGGATTGCTGGCAGTCTCTGGTGCTGGAACGGCTATTTGGGTTAAGGTACCATAGCATATTCTGATCTCTTGTGCACAATTGGAAAGTTCTAGTGCTTAACAGTCAGTTCCTGGCTCTAGTTTTGGTGCTGGATTTTATCTTTTTCCATTGCAGAACTAACTTAATGTCACCCTTTAGACTTCATCTGTGGTTTACATGATTTTGAGAAGCTAATGAACAACTTATATGTTCTTCCAGAAGTCCATGATTCCCCGACTAAAATCTTGGATACGGTGGGTTGTTATGGAAGAGAAAAATGGTGACGGAGGCATAACAAATATAAAACCCACTTTGGCAGAAGAAGCTGCAGCAGCGGCAAAAGCGGCCGCAGCAGCTGCGTCTGATGTGGCAAAAGCAAGCCAGGAAATGATGATCTCAAGATATGAAGGTAGGAAATATCCAGAGCGAGAGTTTACTTCCTAGTAAAAATGCTTCTGTGCTCCTGTTGATAAGCAAATAAGCAATTATATATACGCATTGATAAACTTGTCTTCTGGCCTTTTCAGAGAAAGTAAGCATGGAGAAGTTCATGGATTTGATGCAAATGCAAGTGAAGGAAATTAGGTCAATGGGCAGTGCCATAAAACACCTGGAAGGTGATAATATGTTTGCTCTTTAAGAAAAATAAATTTGCAAGGCTTGTGTTGTATGCTTTTTCTTAGGTGGTTCTCAGGAGTTCCTAGAGTCATGCATCACAAGGATTTTATAGATGCAAGGACATTCTTTAAGATGAAAATTTTCATTTGTTGTCAGGGTTGCGAATCTTTGAGCTTGATGTTTCACAAATTTATTTGTATATTGCGTGACAAGCTAGATAGTTAATTTTCTTCAGTTGCTGTGGAAAATGGGCTGATCCTCTTCTTTGTCCAAAGAACCAACTTTCTAAATCCTTGAGGTAGGCCTTGGTGGCATAAATAATGAGTGCCATAAACAACTGGAAGGTGGTAATATGTTTGCTTCTTTAAGAAAGTAAATTTGTGAGCTTGTGCTTTATGCCTTTACTTAGGTGGTTCTCAGGAATTTCTAGAGTCATGCATCACAAGGATTTTATAGATCCAAGGACATTTGTTAAGATGAGAATTTTAATTTGTTGCCAGGGTGGCTAAGCTTTGAGCTTGATGTTTCACAAATTTATTTGCATCATATTCCGTGGCAAGCTAGATAGTTAATTTGCTTCAGTTGCTGTGGAGAATTGGCTGATCCTCCTATCTTTATCCAACGAACCAACCTTCTAAATCCTTGAGGTAGGCCTTGGTTGCATAATAATGAGTGGATTAAACACAGTGACGGATGCCGGTTCAACTCTTTTCCCTCCGGCAAAAGCCAGATTTTTCGCTCTGAAAACTTTTGAGAGATTTGACAGTGCATGGGGAGCTCATTCTCATTCTTCTGCAATTAATGCTTCAGGCCATAGCTTTCTAGTGTGCCTTGACTATGTATTAGGCAGTACTTGGGCTCCTGAATGATTTGTCTATCTGTGCTGTCTTACCTTTGCATGACCTGGTTTGCATTAGTTTATAACCAGGCGAATTGTTTATGCAAATATCTACCTCTCAATTAAAAATTGTTCCTTCTCTAGTTTAGCTCATTCCAACTTCAATTAATGAGAGCACTGCAGCCTTTAAAGTTTATTTTTTTCTTCTATTCCTGCTCTTATATCTATTCGTTATAATTCATTAGGAAGAAGTGATAACATTGAAAGAACTCATCTGGCCGAGCATGGAGGATACAGTGGTTCAATTACAAACCTTAAGGTATCCAGGTTATAAAATTTCGATTAATAATCGTTCCGATCTCAAAGATTGATTTATATACTCTGGTTCAGGCTTTAACATTTTCTTCTCAATTGTATTTTCTTACCAGCCAACATATCCAAAGGGAAACAAACCAGAGATTGATTCGCGCTCAGGTTCTTAAACTGGCCACGTTGTGGTTCATTTTTGTATCATTCTCCCCTCATCTCTTGGTAATTTGCGTGTTGTGCTTTCTGTATTTTGTGAACAGCAAGATCCTCCTCACCACCAACTTCTGCAGATAAATCTGCCCCACCTCATCCCAATTCATACATGGATGTAAGTGATAATTTTGAAACGGCTAGTTGTTACTTTGGGACAAGATGAATAGAATATGAAGTACTAATATGACATCGCTATCTATTTGCTGCAAATTTCTAGGTACTGTACTTTACTTGGGTAGGCATTAAGTTAAACAGAACTTTGGCTATGAAATCTTGCATTTTCATTGCTCTGACTTGCTGCTTGGCACAGGGCCAAGTCCTACAATTTCTCATTTAATGATATCACCTTATCTTTTGATGAAAATTGACGAGGAACTACTGTAGATAATTGGCTTTTCTGATTTAGTCGAAACCATTGCCTTTGAAACTGACTTGACCAATGAAACATTTATAATTTTCCCAAAGCTTGACGATGCCCAAACCTTCCATTGATTTGTGTTTGCAGTAAGATCTGGGGCTTATGTCTTTGTTGATGCTTTAGTCAGCAGCAATATGTTGAGTTTTCACCTTCCAAATGCAATACAAAAATAAAATGTGGTGTTCATGTGACAAAAGAAAAAGAGCCTAGCTGGGGAAATAATTTATGTTGTTATGTTGCAGATAATGGCAATGGTTCAAAGGGGAGAGAGACCTCCAAACATCAGAGTACAATGCATATAGTTTTCCATTTTTGGTGGTTACTTGTTTGCTGTATCGCATGCTGACGGTATTTGCTTGTTTGTACTTGTACAGGATATAAATGATCAACCTCCCAACCCTAACCAGCAAATTTCAAATCCTCGCTTGGCTCCCAGGTCTAAGGTGTGTGTGCTATTGAGAACTTGCTTTGTCTATGCAATTCTTTTATTTGTGAATTCCATATCATAAATGTTATTGCAATAATATGTTAGGCTAGTTCAATACTCGGGGAAATCTAGCCTCTTCTAACTTGAATGTTTACTGCTTGCTTACTCTGAGCAGCCTTGGGAGGGTGCTTATCAAGCCAAAACTAGCTCAAGAGGAGGATTTGGTTCTGCACTGAACGGGGAAGGGGGTTCAGATATCGGTGCACAGAACAACGAAGCAAGCAATCAGGTGGATGCACAGAGCACCGTGCCTTGGTGGCAGAAGAAGAACTCGAGAATCACTGAGACCGAATATGTTGAAGCCAAGCCAGGGTTCACCACTGTTGCACAGACGAACGAGCAGCCACCAATTCAGCGGACGTGGGTGCCTCCCCAGCCTCCACCAGTTGCAATGCCTGAAGCAGCAGAAGCCATTCGGCGGCCAAAATCCAAGAAAGAGGCAGAGCCTGTTTCTCAAGAAACGAGCGGAGAAGGATTTTCTGCTGCTGAGGTCACTGATGAGTTGCAGAGGATAACCAAGATATCCGAGTCCGGAGGGGAAGTAGAGGAGATGCACAGTGGAGGACAGGAAACGAATGGAGGATCGTTAGGAGGATTGAAGTTGAGTGAGATTGAGGAAGAACCCGTACAGAGCTATTAAAGAGGAAATGAATGAAGTGATGTAGAGGAAGCTGTCTTCAAATCTGTTTGTATACCCTAAGCTGGAGTTGGTTGCAGAACAGTACGGGTCTTCTTGAAAAGGGAGCTTCTGACTGAGTATGGATTTAAATACTATAGAAATGGCGGGTGTCGTGGGATGTGTCATTTGGCATGATGGTTGCTGTTGTTTTTTTTTTTGTTTTAACGAGGGGCCGCTTATATTGCATACTGTAAGTTTAAGGCGAAAAATATACAAAGACATTCGAAATTAAGCAAAGAATTACAATCTAGCCATCATCAAGAGCATTGTTGGCCAGCCATTTGGTCACCCAATCCGCTCTCATGTTGAGATTCCTTCTAAGAAACATTATTACAATCGACGGGAAACCTCCCGAGGATGTCTTTCGTCAGTTTCATGACTTCCAAGGAAGCTGCACAGTTCCATGGCCAGGCTGGCTAGGAAGTCAGTCCCGCATTGAGAAAGAACAAAACAGTCTGATTGGACAATCACAGGACCAGGAAGAATTTGAGCTAACTTCAGAGCTTCATGGAACACACTTTCACTCTAGCTTCGGTAGGGGACGCACAAAGCAAAATTTCAGCTCTCCCATTGCAGACTTGACCATGGCTTTTCATAAGCCGTCCGCTGGAAATTGTTTCTAAACGATCCATCAATCAAACCTAGAACAAGAGTTACTCGGCGGTGGTGTAGGCTAGTTTTGAGTAGGATGGCAATGGTTCGGGCTGGTTTGGGTTTGACAAAAAATTCTCGGGGTAAAATCCGCTAGGTTTGAAAAACTCAAACCAACTCGCTGGGTATCCGGGGGTTCATGGGTACCCATGGGTTTTTGTGGTAAAAAATTTACAATAGCCAGTTTCTTACAAAATAAAAGTTTAACATTAATTTTTTTTATACAAATCATTCATACAAAAAACACTAACCTAGAGCATACAAGTATACCGCAAATGATCAATACAAATTGTTTAAAATTAAAGATAAACATCTATAAACCACAAGATTAATTGAAAGTTTCTTCCTCGTCAACTAAGTTTCTTCATTCTCCACTCCATAATATCAACTTCATTCTAAACAATTAGAAAGAACAAATTATACATGTCTCCACAAACATAAAGAATATTAGTTGTTTAAGGAAGATATATTATTTAGAATATTAAATATACCGGAAAAGTAATTATATGTGTGTGGGCGGGTACCCATGGGGCGGGTTTACCTAAATTCAAACTCAACCCGGTAAATAGTGTATCGGGTTTAAACCCGAACCCGGCCCAAAATCCGTCAACACGGATTTTACCCGCGTTGACCGGGTTGGGTCGGGTGAGTACCCGTGGGTTCGGGTTTTGTTGCCATCCCTAGTTTTGGGGATGGTTAAGCTAGCTAGTAGGAACAGAGGGAAAAGAAAGAGCAGTCATTGAACTCTCTAGCAACATTGGAACATGTGAAGGGAGGCCAAGAAATGGCGTTGCGAAAGACTTTCTCATTCCTAGTCTTTCAGATATTCCAAACAGTGAAGATGATATGGTGGATAGAATGGGTATGGATATAGTCTTTCGATTGGTTAATCCAATGGATGATGTTGGCATTAGTAGGAGGAATGATCAAAGAGGAGAAGAGGTTAATTCATACATCCTACGCATGTTGGCAGGCGAAAAGACAGTGGTGAAGCATCTCCTTTACCTCGTAAAAGATAGGAGATGTGGGATTGGGAGAACACCGAGGATTGAATAATCCTCTTTTCGTTGCCAAAGCATTCTTCGGGCACTTCCAGACGAAAAAATTTCATCTTTGGTGGAAGAGAAGCTTCCAAATCGATTTCCATCTCTCTTTATCTTGTAAAGAGGGGGGGGTTGAAAACCTGCCGCTTAATCTAGCCTTGTCAAGGAGGGCATGGTAGACGGAAGCCACGGAAAAATTACCTTTTGTGGTCAACCTGCAAGCCCAAAAATTCGGGGCCTTAGGTAAGCCGATGGGGACCTATTTAATAGAATGAATATGGGGGATGAGCTTTCCAGTTGCGCCCCTTCCAGGGGTCTGTGATTCGGGTCTAATTACAGATGTTTTGCCCCCGTTTGACTTAGATGTTTGGGCCAAATTCGCTCATTAAAGGTTGGTTTTACCCGAGGTTCTTTGTGTTTGAGTGCTTTTGAGGATTTAACAGGTAGAACCAGCCTCGGAGTCGAAAGATTGGCAAAAAGGATCGAAAACCGGGAGAAGAGGTGAAAAAGCGCCAGTTCACGGCTAAAGCAAGGAGTTCACGGTCATGCAAGACCGTGAAGAAGGGGAGTTAACCGTGAAGCGCAAGGCGTCCAAAGCCAATTTGAAGGTTACTGACGTAAGGTGAGTTCACGGGCACTAGGATCGTGAACACAATCAGTTGCCCGTGAAGTGACGTGAGCGATGCGGAGCGTTTTGGCGCAAGGCTATAGTTCACGGACGTGTTTGATGATTCACAGCCGTGAACTCAACTCTTCTCAGATTTAAAAGCTGAGCTGCAAGAAGGAGAGAGGGGAGCCCACTTTTGTGAGAGAAACACCTTCTTGAGCATTCTAGTGAGAGAAACAGAGCCAAAGGGAAGAAGAAGGTTAGGATTTGCATCCAAGGTAGATTTTAGGAAGATTTCCCCAAGGAGATCTCAGCTCAAGGGTCAAGAAGAGAGGAGGCATCCCAAAAGATGGTTTCCACCCTTTTCCTTTTTGTTCTTCCCACTTCTACCATGGAGTAGTCCTCTTTTCACTTGGGTGTAGTGGAACCCTAACTCTACCATGTAGTTTTCTTGTATGTGGTTTGGATGATTGATATTGGGTATTGTTCAATTTAATGTTTGAGGCATTATTCACCATGATTGTGCATGCTTGTGCTTAGAAACTTAGGGGTTGTGCATATTTTGTGCTTAGCATCCTAGGGATTGTGCATAATTGTGCTTAGCACCTCTAAGTTTGTGCATTTAGGTGCTAGTAATCTAATTTGCCACCTTAGCCTAGTTTAGAGAGGAAAATCCCCCTTTCAAGGGAGACTCAATCGAGTTGGGTTTCCTTCCGCTTTCTAAGCCACCTAAACTAGGTTGAGTTAGGGCAACCCTCAATATTGAATTGAACAAGTTGATTACTCGTGGTTAACCCATCCGACCTTAGAGTTGAGTGAGGGAGTAAGTCGATTACCGATTGTCTAAACCGAGAGGGTCGAGTGACACGGCTTTTCATCCTCACCTCATTTTAGCAATTGAGACTGTGGTCTCCGACCACATACGCTTTCCTCTGCGGTTCACGATTAACGTGCGCAAGGAAATCATTTCAATCCACGTAACATGGTAGCGGTTAGGGGTAGCGAAACCCGAGTGACTTTCCCACAAAAGAGTTTTCAAACCAAATTACCTCTACTTTCTTTCATTTCAATTAGCAACCCTTTAAACCAAAGTTTTATTGCTAGATAATGATTTCAACAATCGAAGTAGGGGTAGACGCACCAGCCCGGGTCGATATATAAATACTTGCCCTATACTGCACCCGATTAGAGTTTAAAAACTTGGGCTTTAATTGGGGTTTAAGTGTAGTGTAGTTTCGTGCGAATCAAGTTTTTGGCGCCGTTGCCTGGGACACGGTCTGTTATTCTAGAAAAAGTTGTTAGTTGTTAATCTAGCTTTTAATTTCCAATTTTTCAAGTGTGTGTGTTCTTTGCTTGTGCTAGACTTGGTGTTTTCCAATTGTGTAGGAGGTGCATGACCCGGAGCAACCCGCCGCCCTTGCTACCACTTGACGAGGACATAAACCAAACTTTCTGAATCCTAGCAAGGGAGAGAGAGCTAGCTGAGGCAAGGAGAAATAGTGAAAGAGGGGGACAACAATTGGGTCCCGGTGTTCGTGGAGAAGTAGTTGAAGAAGTGGAAGTTGAACCCGTCATAGAAGAGGAAATGGCGGGTAACCAAAGGCAAGATGGAGCCGCTCAAGCCCGCCATATGAATGAGGAGGCGGGAGAAGAAGGAGCCCCGAGGACGATGGGATACTATATGGCCCCAAGGCCTTCGGACATTCAATCGCCGATCCTACATCCTCCGGTGGCGGCAAACAATTTCGAGATCAAGCCGGCTCTAGTGACTATGATAAAAAGTAATGCTCTCTTCCACGGCCATGAAAGCGAGTCACCAAAAGAGCACGTGCAGAGATTCTTGGAGCTCGCGGGGAGCTTGAAAATTAATGGTGTGCCAGCCGAAGCTTTGCAACTAAGGTTTTTCCCATACACACTATCGAGGAAGGCACTTAGGTGGCTAAACAACTACCCACCTCGGTCTATCACCTCATGAGACGACCTCCTCAACTAGTTTATGGCTTGTTATTGCCTGCCTTCGAAGACGATAGAGTGGAGAAAGAAGATTACACATTTTGAGCAAGAAGAGGACGAAACCTTGAGGGATGCTTGGGAGAGGTACTCCGATTACTTTCTTCAGTGCCCTCACCACGGGTTTGAAGAACAATTTCTGATTGAAACCTTCTACGGAGGCCTAATGCAAGAAGATAAGATCCTCATTGACTCTTTGTGTCAAGGGAAGTTGATGAATATGGCTCCGCCTCAAATAACCGAGATCCTAGAAGACATGGCCCTTAGGGGATATGATTGGGGGTTGACTAGAAGTGGAAGATGAAGCAATGAAAGGGGATTCAGAAGCGTGGGAGCGAGTTCTCTGCTTGAGGCAAAGTTGGATAAGTTGCTTGAGGTTATGTTTGAAGATAAAAGGCAAGGAAAATGGGCGGTAATGTCGTGCGACTGGTGCTCGAGTACTAGCCACGAGATAGCGGAGTGCCAAGAAATGAAGGAGGCAACCACTCCGGAGGAGCAAGTCAACTTTGTGGCAAATGCTAGGGTCAACAACCCGTATAGCAATACTTATAACCCCGGATGGAGGAACCACCCCAACTTTGCTTGGGCATCACCGGCTAATCCAAGGCCCCTCGGGGAACTTCCAACCTCGTCCAACCTTCATCCGACAA